TGTGTATGAGGGCATGTATGCATGTGTGTGGGCATGTGTGTGTGGGCATGTATGTGTGTGTGTGTGTGTGTGTGGGGGGGGGGGTTACGCGTGTGTGTAAGTGGATTATTGCCCTAATCATCCACTACCTTTCTTATCTAGTCAAGAAGGTCTGACTTTTATTTGACATATTTTTACCTGTAGATATTGCTTCAACGCTGTTACTTTTAAGTTTCCTCTTCGCATCTTCGTCGTCCTGCCTTAAATCCTCGTCAGAAAATGGTTTCTAAAACAGCCAACATGTTTTCTAAGTAAATTAGTGTTCATGCATTGTACATTAAATTTCGGCATAATGCTAACTTATGCATTACATCAGTAGCTTATAAATGGCCATTTATTAGCTCCTGATTACATCGTATACCTATATTATGCGGTTCATTTAATTATATTTTGCCATAAGTCGCTTACTACAGTAAAACTCGCATAAGACGCCATCGTCTAATCGCCATCGCCTACTCGTCAATTCGCTGAAGTCGTCTAATACTAGTACTAGTACTAGAATTCATGGAAGTCAAATGTGTTTACGCATAGGCCTACCAGTATGAGTGGCGCGCGGTCTGAAGTAACAGCCAGTGCGAGGTTCGCAGCATTCATCACGTCATTAATCCTCACGCGAAACTCTTCTATCTTTATTCTAATGAAAACAAATGATGGCAGTGGTATCGGTGATGGAAACAGCGGTGATGGTAGATGGATGCTGTGGTGGTCGAGGCAGTAGTGTCGGTGACGGTAATGTTGATAATGATATAGATGATGATGATGATGATGATGATGATGATGGTGGTGGTGGTGGCGGTGGCGGTGGTGGTGTTGGCGGCGCCGGTGGTGGTGGAGATGATGATGATGATGATGATGATGATAATGATGAATGAAATTTAGACGAGATGACTTAGATAGATCTTTTAGATATTCATTTTCACCTGTTCTCACCTGATGTCGTTCCCTTTAACCGTGATCATGAGCCAATTGTAGTCTCCGACTTTACGGATGAAGCGTATCACCTCTGTGAAGGGCATGCATAGATATGCAAGGGTATAACAAAGATAGTACATGTGTAGCGTGTATCGATTTCTACAGCTACTTTATACATTTCAATTGAATAGTACGTTTCACGTCAACGTATTGAATAACTATTGGATAAAATTGAATTTGATAACACCAAAATATATCAGTACGTTAGTATATGATGTGTTTTTAATAATACTGAACACATATATAGGTATCTCCTATAACAACTTGTGTAAGATGTTATGGAATTATGTTGACAAACTAATAGCCTTTTAGTTGCGGCACATATGTTGTATTTTGATACTTGAAAAACTACACCTCTGGAACTATAATAATTAAGCTATAGTGGATTTAGCCACAAGCAACCGTCCGGGTATTTACTGCGCATGCCATAAGTGTAACACATCGTACAGTCATAGAGCCTGGTAAGCTCTTGAAGAACCATAATAATTA